GAGGCCGGGCGCGGCGGCCTTCCCCAGTGCGCCCCCCGAGCCAGCGCCCGCGGCCGCCTCCCGCGTCCGCCTCGCTCTTCCCGGCGGCTCGAGCCGCCAGCTCCCGCCGCACCCCCGGCCCACCTAGTGGCCCCGGCCCTGGCCGCGGCCCCCGCGGCGGTTCCCCGAGCTCATCCCGGACGCGCGCCCGGGCGGCGGAGGCTCGGCGGCCACCGCTGCCTCGGGGGAGCGAGGGCGGGAGGGTGTGTGTGTGCGCGTGTGAGCTGGGGGTGCCGGCGGGGCTGCAGCGGAGGCACTTTGGAAGAATGACTCTGGAGTCCATCATGGCGTGCTGCCTGAGCGAGGAGGCTAAGGAAGCCCGGCGGATCAACGACGAGATTGAGCGGCAGCTCCGCAGGGACAAGCGGGACGCCCGCCGGGAGCTCAAGCTGCTGCTGCTCGGTGAGTACAGCCGGAGGCGGCCGCCGCGGGCCCTCCCGCCGGACCTGCGCCCCCTACCCACCACCCTCAGCCCCCCGGGACCGTGGCCCCGGCCCCCGGTCGCCCGCGGCTCGCCCCTGTCCTCCCCGGGCGCGTCCCCGGCCCCTACCCGCACCCTCTTGGGCCTCGGCCTCGGCTTGTGCCTTTCGGTATCCCTAAGGGCTGTGCACTCGGGGGTGCGCATTTGTCCGCGGTGCTTCTGCAATTTGCTCAATGACACATTGCTTCGGGGAGAGGCGCGGGGGTGGGAAGGTGGGCAGGGGGGTTGAACTTCCAGTGTCGTGGCCGCGGCGCCCCGTGGGGTGGTGGAGTGGGGAGCTGTGCGTATATGTGGCCCGAGGGTGGCGAGCGGAGCCACGTTGGGGGATGGCGTCCGGTGGGGTGGCCTGTGGTGCATCCATTATCAGTGCTTTCCGGGGTCGGGAGCGAGTGGTGGAACGGTGGGCTGACTCGCGACTGGATTCTCCGAGGAGCGATGAGGATGGAGCCGAATGGTTGGCTCTCCGAAGAAAGCGGGCTTGTGTATTCGCGGGGCGGGGAGGCAAGCCCAAATGTGTCACACGAGTGCTGTTCTCTAACCACCAGACCACCAAAAGGAGGGACCCAGAAGAGTTTCTTAATGGTGACAGGCGTGTTTCTCCACCATTCCTTCCAGATAAAGATGAGGGATACGGGAGGGTTGTGCTGTATGGTTGTTAACAGCGATGGGTATCTTTTGTTTAATGAGGCAACCCAGATGTAGGCCTGAATTCACAGTAGTTACCAGTACAGCCTCAATTACTCTCATGGAAGCAAATAGAAACCTTTTGTTTAAAGCGGACAGCATTTTAATATCTTTGGAATCTGGGCTAGAAGGAAAACGGGAAGTGAACAGCAAAAATTTCCCTTTAATCTCTACAAAATAACCCAACATTCTGCCTTAACATTAAGTTAGCAAGAAAATGCCATTTCTGAACTAGGAATTTTATTGATTATTATCTCTGAGAGAATGTTCAGAATCAACGTTCAGGCCAGCGCGACATAACTCTCAGCTATTGTGGTAGGAAGAACAAACAGCTTTGCAGTAACAGGCCTGAAAAATGTCTGCACTCGTGTTCTGGATATTTGCGTGTATGGTAAATAGACTTCTCACACATTTCTGGAAGAAAATATTGTCAATTCTGATTTGAGAAGCATGCATTTTCTTATCTTGAACTTTCCATCTCCTGGTTTGAGGAACCAGTTGCCTTTGGGACTGAACTGCTTATGTACTGGATCATTTACAAGAAGGAACAAAATACAGTGATTACAAATAGTTACAAATGGTTAACTCACATGCCCTGCTTAATGTCTTCATTTTGAAACCAGATTTGGTAAATGTGCACATGTTTATAAAGAACAGAAGGCAAACCCTGGATAAGAGGGGTGGACTTCAGGGAATGAAGCCAGGGAAGGGGAAAACTGCAATTGGAAAAGGAAGATCTTTTTATTTTTTATTCTCATTTTGAGCTACTTCTAATGGCTGAAAAGGTGTAGTTGAATGCTTTCTGAATTCTCAAGATTGAGAAGAAAATAGAGGGGGCAAGAGAAATGTATGGAGTTTAATGCATGATTAAGGGGAAAAGCGTGTGTTTTAGAGAGACTTAAGGATTTTTTTTTGTTTTCTTTTGCCCTGTGTGCAGTCTTTATTTGTTTCTGTTTAGCTGTGAATAGGGCATTTGAGGTCTCTCAGGCCAACCCCATTGCCTGAAATGTGGCAGCTCTGGGTTCCTAGCAGCTGTGAGTTAGAGCTCAGGGGATTTGTCTGTCTGAGGGCCTAGGTTTGAATGTCTAGGAGGAGGACTTTGGGAGAAATGCCCGTAGATGGACACTTAATTACAGACTGGACTTAAGTAACATATTGTGCTTTTTCAAACAAACAAACATATTTTGCTTTAAAAAATGAACTTGGAGATAATTTTATGAGGAAAAAAATTAAAACAGTTTACTGCTAAAATGGTGGTGTGGAGAACTTTTTTTCTCCCCTTCTTATTAGATTTTCGAGTAGGGTTAAATACAGCCCCACCCCAGCCCCCAAATATGGCCTATTAGAAGTGGTAGAAAAATATGACATCAGTTTAACATCTACATTTATTATCATTTTAAAACTATACAACTTTTTGTTAGAAACTCAATCCCTAGACATCATGTAAGATTTGCTACAGCTTCATGTTCTAGGTTATGTTGCTTTTGTAACATAACTACTGCAGTACCTACACTGTTTATATAGTCAGTGCTATATACTAAGTGTAGGTTTGTGTGTGTGCTTGTAATTTTTGAGTCCCGGAGAGAAGTGATGGTTGATTTGAACCAGGGAAGGTATTGGGGAGGGTTTCCTTCTGAGGAATGCCTGATGATGTGCTGCTTTGATGCTGCTTTGCACTCACTGTTCATTCATGTAAATGATGCCCATGAAAAGGTTTACCAGTATTTTTAACTTCTTTATTTAAATTGAGGAATCACCCTTATATTTAAATGAAATTCAGTGTAAAATTATTTTCAAAGTAAATTGTAGTTCAACGTGTGACACCATTTTAATGGATTTATATGGCAGGGGCCCCTTGCAAAATATAAAATTATTAGTTAATTTTATACTACGGAGAAATTAGAAAGAGAAAATAGTGGTTACCTGCCTAGATGAAAGTATGGCAGTAAAATTTGGGCTGCCTTGATACCTATCCAGCAATTATGCCGATATGTTCCAAATTCTACAGTACTTATACATTTTGATATTTATTGTTTTTAAAAAACGAACCCAGAAACCTACTACCATAAAATGGCATATTAAATTCTGAATTCTTGTTTATTCATTTTCTAAATTCATTTATATAGTGTTTATTTTCTTAGACACCTCAAAGAAAACTGTTTGTTTTCTACATAGATATGCAAAGAGAATATTTTAAGTTTTTATATACTTCCTAGATGTAATGCACATTGTTTCCTTTAATTAATACTTATGAATATTAACTAATTATTTGGTGGTACATAGGTCACACTATTTAATATAATGTGTCTTTAAGTCTGTATAAAACAAGTGGCCTTGAATGCCTGCTTCTGGTCAAGGATATTCATGTTGAAATTTTCAGTTTCTTGAAGACACATTTTTTCCCCCCATTAACCTGTTATTACTTTACATGTTTTAGAAATCTTTACTCTTCAGATCTTAGTCATCAGATAGAAAAATTTAGCAAACCTTTTTTTATTGATTGGATTCCACCTATTGAAGGGGCAAAGTTTAGGCCCGTTTTAGATGAAAGAATATATGTTCTTCCTCTTCTAATGAATTACATATGTGATTGGAGATTTTCTTTCTATTCTAGACTGAAACCTTAGGAGAGTAGGGACTGAGGACTGATTCTATATTGTTCACTATTAAATCCTAGCTTCTGGCACAATCTCTAATTCATAGAATGGTCTCAATAAGTATTTGTTGAGTAAGTAAACTTATTTGTAACCCTCCTAGTAGAAATTGGGACCATAAAACAATGAAGACATTATAGAGACATGGGGAAATGTAATGTTTTTATTCTGTGGCAGAGAAAATCATGATCTTTTTTAAAAAAATTATATGTAACTCTTTGAGCCAATTAAATACAAATGCATTCCAGGATAGGAAGTGTTAATGTAAGATGTTACATCACATATTGAACCATGTATTACAGTTCTGTGCTGGGTGCATTTGGGAATGATAACAGTCACACTTAAAATATGAAAGTTTACAGGAAAAAAAAAAGAAACCATACCATGTCTTGATTACTTTTTTTTGTATAGAAGCTAGTTTAACCCTCTCATCTTTTTGCCATATACTTTTCCCCATGATACACTCAACAGAGTGAATTTTTAAATTCTCTAGAGTACAGGTGGTGACCGAACAGATTTTTACAATTTACCTATATAATTACATGAGGAGAACTGCAGCGATTAAATTTTAAGAATTGCAGAAAGAACGTTTTTAATTTGAGCGATGTACATTTGTACTGAAAACTGAACAGTTACAGAGCAGAAGACACCTGGAAGGCTGGAAGTGCTCTGACAGAGTTAGACTGTGTGGAGAGCTCATGCATGCAGGTCTGGGTAAAAGCACCCACCCCATTACCCCTCTGTAGAGTTACTAGGGGAAGGATGAGGATGTTGATACCCGAATTAACCTAGAGGTTAGTGGCTCTCTAGGATGGCTACTCAGAGCTGCAGAATGAAAGCTTCCTTCTGTGCAGCCCTAATAACAGAAGCTCCCTGGAAATACCATAATACAGTGTTTATGAGGCTACTTTAAGACCAGCTGGTTTTCTTTTTGCTACTTTTTTAGCTTGCAAGTGTTGAATATGTTTCTAAATGTCAGGATTTGTTTGGATGCGTTTCCTTTTTTTCTTCATTTTATTTTTTTGGAAACAAAGTACTTATAGTTTGTATCTGAAGAGTGAAGTGGCAGCATCCCTCATAAAAAACAAAACTGTAGCTCTGACTATATAACAAGGCGTTCAGAGTAAGATTTTTGCATTGAACCACGTAGATTCATTGTCTAGATCTGCCATATAACTGTCAATCTCGTACTGGTACTTACGTATTGTTTCTTCTTATGGGAATTTTGGGCGCAAATTAAAACCCTACTGAACAGTGAAGTGATCCTCTATGTATCTGTTCACATATTTTTACGTAGGCTTAGGAAGGAGAACCAGAAGAATAATTTAGTGGCCATTTTGTTTATTACAGATAAATTTTATAGCCTCTTTTTCATTAAAAAAAAATCAAACAACCTAGCTGTATCTTATAAGAGATGGCTTATGTTCAATTTTCAGAGATGCCTATTAAATATAGTTATGATTTTTATTACAGATGAATTTTTAAGGACCTGAAACAGCTTCTGCAGTTGTGAGGCTGCGTGCTATGCTAAACTTAGCAGAAAAGAACACATTTTTCTTCATGATCCAGACAAACTTACACTT